GGGCGACAAGGGGCCCTCCTGGTCGAACCCCTTCTCGCATTGAAGCGGGTGGAAAAGACCCCCCGCGTCGCGCCAGAGGTGTCTCGCTGGCTGTCCGTCCCGCGCAAGGAGAGCTGTCGCGGCCACCTCGTCTCGCTCTGCCATGGCCGCCAGGGCGGGCACCCGTTCCAGGGAGGGGAAGGCGGCCTCCAAGTCCAGCTTCAGGAAGACTGCCGTGGGCCTGGTTTCCGCCTGGGCCTCCAGCTTCCGCAGCAAGAGTTCGGTGCCGCCTGGCCTCCGGACCCTGTGCTGCCTGTCACCGGCTGCGGTCCGCAGTTGCTCCTTTCTGACCCGCGCCAGTGCTCGCAGACCTAGGCGGCGCACCGTGGAACCCACGATGAGGGGCCGTGCGTCGTCGCCTTCCTTGCGGAGCGCCGTGACCTCCCCAGTGCGGAGAACAGCCAGGGCCTCACCGGGCAGCATCCCGAAGGCGATCCACGATATCGCTTCAGAGAGCCATCCCAACGTCTCGACGCACCGCTTCGTGTCTCCGAGGTGCTCCAAGCGGCAGCCTAGCAGCCCTGGCGCCGAGAGGCGGGGCGGCCTCCGCAGCAGTTTCACTGTCTCCTCCTGGACGCTTTCGAGGATCTCTGGCGGAGGCCGCGGGATGCCTTCCAACGACGGCGCGGGCTGAGCAGTCCCGCGGAAACACGCCTTGATCTTGTTCAAGGTGTCTGGAGTGCGCGGGGCCTGCTGGCCGTGGATCGCAACGCCCGACCTTCTTCTTAAGCTGCTGCCAAAGTGTGCACCCGCGCCGCCCTTTGCTTTTCGCTGTTCTTGGCGGCCGCCACTGGGATCTTCCACCTGTGCCGGACGGACGTCCAGAGCGCGTCGCCCTGGGCCCCCCCCAGAACCACGCGAGGCGCTCCTCAAGCAGCTCTGCACACGTCGCGGCTTCGTCACTGGTGCTGAGAAGGAGGAGGTCCAGCACTAAGATCAACTTCCACTCATCCTTCGCTTCCCCGCGTTCCCGAGCGTGCTGGAGGACTTCCAAAGACTTCCTCGGCGCTCAAAGCATCGCCTCTCCCATGAGGCCGGAACTCCGCGCCCGGCGGCAGCCGGCCCTGCAGGCAGGTAGCGCACATCCAGCGATAACACGTGCGGTTGCCCCAGGCGCACAAACGCAACTCGCCTGTTTCAAACATCAGGCCACAAGACCTGCAGGCGGCCGGTCGCGCCGATGCTCCTTGCACATTGACCGACCAGATCGCTGCCCGAAGCTCGGATGCCAGCCAGGCGCTCGCATCCACCTCCATCGTGTCCTTCTGCTCCTCCCCGCCCGGCTCCTGGCGCTGCCGGCCGCCGGCTGCTTGCGCGCCTGCGGCCGCATGGGAAACGTCGACTTCCATGGCGCGCCGCCCCCCGCGGAAGAGGAGGAGGGGAAGGGAGAAAGGAGGAAGAGGAGGAGGAGGAGGAGGAGGAGGAGGAGGAGGAGGAGGAGAAGGTGGAGGTGAAGGATGAGGAGGATGAGGAGGAGGAGGAGAGGAGAGGAGGAGGAGAGGAGGAGAGGAGGGGGAGGAGGAGGAGGAGGAGGAGGAGGAGGGGGAGGAGGGGAGGAGAGAGGAGGAGGAGGAGGAGGAGGGAGGAGGGGGGAGGAGGAGGAGGAGGAGGAGGACGAGAGGCGAGGACGAGGGGACGAGAGGAGGAGGAGGAGGAGGACGACGAGGAGGACGAGGAGGAGGAGGAGGAGGAGGAGGAGGAGGAGGAGGAGGAGGAAGAAGAAGAAGAAGAGGAGGAGGAGGAGGAGGAGGAGGAAAAGGAGGGGGAGGGTGAGGATCAGGACGAGGAGGAGGATGAGGAGGAGGAGGAGGAGGCCTCCTTCGCGCGTGCGGTGTCGAGAGCCGTGCTCTAGCCCTGGTGGTAGTCGGCGCCCCAGGGGCCAAGGCCTCTTCAGCGGACGGGCTGTCTTTTCACCGCGCTCCTCCGTTTTCATCCGACGTTGCCTTCGGGGACTGCTTGCGGGCCCCAGGTGGGAGGTCGAAGCCTTTGGGCCGCGAGCTGAACAATGAACCTTGTGCGACCCCAATCATGAGAAAGCTTCCTACTGCACTCTAAGCCTCCTAGATGGTGTCGGAGTAGATGGGGTCGGAGGATCGCCCCGCATCGCCGATGCATCGACGATGCAGCTCGATGTGAAGCCCGATTTGTTTTACGTCGATGTCGCCCATGCACCGCCGACGTCGACGATGCATCTCTGGTGCATCGCCGATGCATCGCCAATGCATCGCCGATGTATCGGCGATGCTGCGCGATCCCCTGACCCCATCTACTCCGATCCCATCTAGGAGGCATATACATATAACGGCGCACCGGGTCCGGGGGCCCGGGGCCGGGACCTCGACCACAAATGTGCGCCCCGGGGGGCCCGGAGGCTCGTCGGACCGCCGGACGCCGTCCAAGATCGTTCGCAGGCGGCTTCGGAACGCGCTCCGATGGCTCCAGATGCCTTCCAAGACGCCTGTCATGACACCAAGAAGGTCCCAGAAGCCTCCAAGACGCTCCGAGAGGCAGCCCAAGAGAGGCCCAAGAAGCAAAAATCGTGTCATTCCTATGGGAAAACGTATATTTTTCGCATGTTCGCCTCTTGGGTTTTCACCGCGTCCAAGACGGCCCAAGAGGCGCCCAAGACGGTCTACGAGGCCTCCGGGAGCGCTCCAAGGCTGCGCACGAGTGGCCCAGGACGGCCCTAAGACGGCCGAAGAGAGCCCCAAGACGAGGAGAAAGCAAATCTCGAATTCCGAGCTTCCGGCCCAAGAGGCTCCAGGAGGCGCCAAAATGCCGCCAAGAGGCGCCAAAAGGCTTCCAAAAGCACCCCAAGACGTTCCGAGAGGCACCCCAAGAGAGGTCCAAGAAACAATAATCGTGCCATTCCTATGGGAAAACGTATATTTTTCGCATGTTCGCATCTTGGGCTTTCACCGCGTCCAAGACGGCCCAAGAGGCCTCCAAGACGGCCTAGGAGGCCTCCGGGAGCGCTCCAAGGCTGCGCACGAGTGGCTCAGGACGGCCCCAAGACGGCCCAAGAGAACCCCAAGACGACTTCGAGAGGGGTCCCAGAAGGAGAAAGCCACTCTCGAATTCCGAGCTTCCGGCCCAACATATCCCAGGAGGCGCCAAAACGCCGCCCAGAGGCGCCAAAAGGCTTCCAAAATCAGCCCAAGACGTTCCGAGAGGCACCCCAAGAGAGGTCCAAGAAACAAAAATCGTGCCATTCCTATGGGAAAACGTATATTTTTCGCATGTTCGCATCTTGGGCTTTCACCGCGTCCAAGACGGCCCAAGAGGCCTCCAAGACCGCCCCAAGACGGCCCAAGAAGCTTCCAAGAGGGCCCCAGGACAGCCCAAGAGGGCCCCAAGACGGCCCAAGAGGCGCCCAAGATGGCCCAAGAGGGCCCCAAGACGGGCCCAAGAGGGGGCCCAGAGGGGGACCACGAACCGCAAGCTCGAGCCTTCCGCCCCAAGAGGCCGCCAGGAGGCCCCAAGGAGGCCCCTCAAGAGGCCCCAGGAGACCCCCAAGAGGCCCAAAGGAGGCCCCGAGAAGCCCCAAATCGGCCCCCAAAATACTTCGAACCTGCTTCCAGGAGGCCCCCGACAGGTTCAGAGGCTCCCGAGAAGCTACGTCAAACTCCCAGCGAGCGGCCGGACGAGGCCCCCCACAAAATCACCCCACAAAATCACAAGAGGGTTCCAGTATTTGTATCCTTCAGCGCTCTCTGGCCTTCTTCCCCCTGCCCCCTTCCCTGCGACTTTCGTTGACTCAAGCTCGCCTCCTAGCTAGAACCTAAGCGCGCGCGAAGCGCGCGCGTGGTTCTAGTGTATATGTCAATGGGCGCATTGCGTGTAGTGCGTATTGCCGGGCGTTGCTTGGCACTGCTTGGCATTTTGATTGGCATTTTGAATGGCATGTTGATTGCCACTCTGCGGATGTTTTGTTGGCGTGGCGCGGCATTGCACAGCATTGTTTGGCACTGCGCGGCGTTGCGCCTTGCGTTGCGTCGCATGGTTTTGCACGGTTTGGCGCTTCGCATTGCCTTGGGCTGCCCAGCGCGGCGTGACGAGGCAGCAAGCAACCAGGACCAAAGATCCGAGCAGCCAATGGCCCAGAAACCGAGGAACCAAGAGCGAACAACCAAAGCGCCAGCACCCCGGAACCCTGGAACGAAACCCAAGGAGCCGCGGAACCGGGACCCGAGGGAGCCAAGCAGCCCAGGAACCAAGACCGAGGAGGAACCCAGGAAGCGCGGCACCAACGCCAACGAGCCAAGGCCACGGAACCAAGAAATCCAGGCCAGGGAACTAGAGAAAATTCGCGTGACGTCTTGTATCAAAGATGGAAGAACCGCGCAAACGCAGATGTTTGGCCTTCCGCGCGGATTTCTTGGACCCGCGCTGGGGCTCCCCCCGGTGGCGCCTCCTGCGCCGCCCCTGGCACGGCCCGCGCGCCAGGGAGGGGGTGGGGTCCAGCGCAGATCCAAGAAATCCGCACGGAGCGCCAACAGTTCATGTTTATACAATTGTTTCCCTTCGATTGGAAAGAAGGACAGCCATGGAACCCCAGGGGAACCCAGCGACGACCGTGCCTTGCCCCCACCGGTTCTTTAACAACACGCAGGGGACCCCAGGGGAAGCCCTCTTATGGGGTAAAGCGACACATCGTCGGAGGCCCTGGGGCTGGGCAGCTACGGTCGGAACCGATGGCAGGGAGGGGTGCCATTCCCAGGGGCACCCCTGCAGCTGTGCCTCGTCGGTCCATCCTTCACCGCTCTCGCTGGCCCAGCCCCGCTCGAGAAGCGTGTGGGCAGGGCCCCCCAAGGCCCTTGTACCTTTATCGTGCACCCTGCCTAATGATCAGCTTTTACTGCAGGGGCCCACGGGCCAAATACGAAGACGAACGCACGTCGCCGCATGTGTGCCTGCGGATCGCATGCGCGCCCGCGTGCGGCTCTCTCCCCTGGGTGCAGGCGGCCCGCCCTCGGGCAAGCTGGGGGAGCCCGTCTTCATCCAGCCCTCCTGGGGGGGCTTCGCGCCCGGGGGCCAGGCGGTGCCCGGCCTGGAGATGCGGCAGGCTTCGGGCGCAAACCGTGCGAGCCTTGCGTACCCTTTCTCGTCCGTCTTCAGAGCGCCCTGGCGCGCGCCAGCGTCGGGTACCCGATACTCGATGAGACAAGCGCCGATTCAGCGTCGATTCGCGTCTAGCTTGCGTGGACCTTGCGTCGATGTGGATTCGTGTCGATGAACGTCGATTCGCGTCAACCAGCATCGATTCGCAAGAGCCAACATGATGCCACGGGACGCTCCCCTGAATCGGGCGAAGAGAAGAATGCACACGCACGTCTCTGCCAGGCTCATCCTGGGCCCAGGCTGGGCCTGGCCATCATCGGTGTATGTGCATGGTTCTCTCTCCTCTAAGACAAGATTGATGACGATTGAGAGATATCTGGTGGTCGTGTTTACGCGGCGGCGCCAAGGATGATGATTGGAGATACGGGCCCTTGGCCGAGAGCCTGCTCTTAGCTCGTTCCCTCCCGCCCGCGTCGGGCGCGCGCCTGGACGGTCGGCGGACCAGACGGAGCCGAAGCGAAGTGGAAGCCGAAGATTCGGAAACTATTTTGTGAACCGTTCTCCCCACACTCTTTTATTCACCGTCGTCCTGCACTGCATTCCACGAAGGCGTGGACGGGCCTCTCGGCCTTCACCACGGGGCGCTGCCCAGTGTACACGGTGGCGCCGGCGCCGTCGCTCAGCCTCCTGAGGTGCCTCGGGGAGCAGGGCGGCTCGGGCCGGTGATCCCGAGGGGACACCTCGAGGAGAGTGACGCCGTGACGCAGCGAAGGAGAGCTCAGCCTCGCAGCTTCCGGGGGGGGCACAGGCTCGAGGCTTGGAGGTGCAGAGTTTGCACCGGGCGGCTTCTCGGCGGTTTGCCAGCCTCGAGATGGCTTCCAGCAGCTGCGCCTCGCCGAGAGCGTTCCGGGGGCGCCCGGAACGTCCAGAAGGGCCGCCGGACGCCCGAGTTGTGGCCCGAGAACTAGCCCAACTCGTTGGATACCAGCTTTATCGGTCGCGATCGGCAGTGACCGATCGGCACGCCAAATCGGTCACGACCGATCTCGATCGATTCCAAAATCGGCCTCGACCAGTCGCGACCGATCGCGGCCGATCGGTCGCGACCGATTCTGAAGCGAATTGGTCGCGACCGATACCGGAATTGGAAGCAAAATCGGTAGGGACCGAGCCTCCTCCTGCTCCTCCTGCTCCTCCTCCTCCTCCTGCTCCTCCTGCTCCTCCTCCTCCTCCTCCTCCTCCTCCTCATCCTCTTCCTCCTCCTCCTCCTCCTCCTCCTCCTGCTCCTCCTCCCCCTCTCCTGGGGGCCACCAAGAGACGGGGGCTCAGGGCGGTGAGCTGCGGCAGTGGGGGCGTTGGTCAGGGAATGTACCCATGAGGCCGCAGACCCTGGAGGGCCACCAGGTCCACCCAGACACGGGGGCATGGGGCGGTGAGCTACGGTGGGGGCGTTGGTGAAGGAATGTGCCCATGAGGCTGCAGACCCTGGAGGGTTGGGTTTCTTGGCATCGCTCGGACGTGTGCGTTTCTCTCGGGGAGGACCATAGAGGACCATCCTTGATCATCGAGCCAAGAAACCACGCACTAAGCCGAACCATGGACGGGGAATGGACGTTCGAGCTAGTGTAAGTTATTTCATGATGGCGACAGTGACATCCATGGCCAGCCCTCGTTTGGAATTCCACCGGCTTCTAGGCCCTGGGCTCCTTAATTAATCAAAGGTTCCCGATCCAATGCCCTCACCGCACTCCCGGGGAAGGGGTCCGGGAGCTCTGAGTGTGAGGGGGGGAGGCCCTCGTCGCTCCCGCTGGATTCGCCTTGAAACCATACCCCCAGAGAGGTCGGGTGAGTAGCAGTATCGGTACCTTTTGGTTTCCCCAGCTCTGGGGCCGCAGGTGAGAAATATACACATCGGCGTGTGTCAGGGGCTGGGGGCGGGGGCAGGGGGGTAGGCTTCTTAAAAGTACCCCTGCTTCTTTGAAGGCGTGGGCCTCATCTGTAGATGTAGGGCCAGCGCCGGTGACGAAGCAGCCTCCTTCTAAGAAGCCCTCCCCCTTCCGACCACCTCCTTGTGCGCGCCGCTACAAGAGATGCCAATGCTACTGCAGTTCCCTTGTCTTGGAGCCCTCTGGCGGTCTGAGGTGGTCCAGCACTGGATCCGGCCAGCAGGAAGGGTAGGGCAGGTTCGAGGTTCTGGGCTCGGGGAGTTGTGCTACCTTCTTCGGCGTCCCGGGGCCGTTTTCGGGCCCCGGTGCAATGACAAACTGATCCCGGTGAAACTGCACCAGATGGGCCCCAGGAGGGGTCTGGGAGCCAACTTTGGGAGCGGATCTGGCCTCATCCCCCCTCCTGGCCGATGTCGCAGGGTCTCAACCAGTTCAGACCCCCCGGCCGCCTCCAAGATGCCGATGCCGCCATTGTTCCCGCATCGCCTCGGCTCGGTTCGCCTCGAAGTTTTGGTCAGAGCGAACCCCTGGAGAGGTCCAGGGAGCAGCGGTTTGGGCACCTAGCTGTCCCTCCAGGAGAGTGGTGCCGTCACGCCTCTCCGCGCAGTCGAGCGACTCGATCGGGAATCTGATCTTCTTGACGACGGGGTTCTGAGATGCCTTGGTCGAGTGCTAACTCTTTTTAGGTAGTGGAAGCCTCTTGGCCTTCCGCTTTGCCACCCTGGCTTTCCCCAGCGCTACGGCATGGGGAGAAGGGGCAAGGTGCCCCCGCCCGTATGGGTTGCTTCTTCAGCGCAAGGCCCCCGTTCGCCATTCTTTCAAGCGAAGCACAAATAAACGTACGTGCTTGGCGCAGGGCGAGCGATGTGGTGCATGCGTGGAGAACGAAGAATTCAGCCAGTTTCTCCGTGTGCGGTGCGCCAGTAGTCTGGGCCCAGGGCGGCATCCAAGTTTGAAGCCATCCGACGGGTTCATCGTACTACTGCGCGCCACGCTGATATTTTGCTCCAAGTCATCTCTCGAAGGCGCGTTTAGCGCACTCAGTTCATCCCAAATTAGGATGCGACTGGAGCGTCTGCTCAAGGTTGCTGTGCAAGGCTGAGGTGCCGAGGATGCGACTGGAGCGTTTTGCTCAGGTGATCGGGTGCTGTCTCAATATGACCAGCACCCGACTCACGTCAGTACGTCAGTACTACGAATACCTAAGTTCTCCAGTGCGTTTCGCATTCTACTGCAAAAAGAAGCGGCATGCAGCATTCCCACCCTTCTGCACGTTCCATCCATGCTGGTGCGTTCCTTGGCAGGGTCTGTTCTTTGAGTGGACAAGGAGTTTGAAACTGCGCAGCGAAGTGCTTAATCTTTCGTGCCAAGTCGCTCCACGTCGAACCCAAAACGTGATGGACGCCGTCGAGAATTACGCGCGGCCTTCCGCCACGAACGACGCCCCCGATGGGAACGCACAGCCCATCTGGGACCCCGCTTTGGAAGAGACTTGGACGACCAGGTCGAAGCTTAAGTCCCTGTCTGGACTCCCCGTGATACTATCATGTCCCCTGCAGCCCCTCTCATACGTTGGCTGCGCTTACGGGCGGGAAATCAGAACGGGCGGGCCTCCTGAGAAGGCCTGGAAGACCCCTGGCCTCCTGAGAAGTTTCCTCCTCGGCCTTCTTTCACCCAAGGCGCAGAGCACTCCTCCGAAGGCCAGAGGGCTTCTCAGAAGCCCCCGGCCGCCTTCCGAGAGGGCTCTCTCCTCCTCGCACCCCCCCCCCCCTCGCTCGCCGCCGATCCTGTCCTCCGCGCCCCTGCACCAGCTCGGGACAGCCGGAGGTGTCTCCTCTTTTGGGGGGGGGGCGGCCGGGCACGGACCTCGGCGGCGTGTGCGCGTGGCTGCTGCCGAGCACGTCTCGGCCGAGCTCCGTCGTGCTCGGGGTGCCAGGGGCCTCCGAGGCTGGGAGCTGTCCATCGCCGCCGCCCGGGCGATCGATCCATCTTCGGGGACCTCGGTAGGCGGTGAATCTGGATGCTTTCGGGGCCCCTGGGGCCGAAAAGTGTAGGTACATCCGCCGCCCGCTGGGGGCCCAGGACGTCTGTCCCCCCGGCGGTGGGCCCGAGGACCCTGCGCGTGCGCGCGTCCGGCGGCCCGCCAGGTGTGGGCGTTGGTCCGAGGAGATCGCGGCCTTCTGTTTCAGCAGGGGAGCGATTGGCTGGGAACACCAGGGGCAGGGTAAGGAGAGGGAGGAGGAGGAGGAGGAGGAGGAGGAGGAGGAGGAGGAGGAGGAGGAGGAGGAGGAGGGGAGGAGGAAGCACGCTTCCTCTCGCACCATCCGTGCCATCCAATATTTTTCCCCCTTTCGTTGCTGGCTGGTGCTGTCTTCGTGCTGTCTTCGCGCCTCAGGGGAGCCAGCAGTCAGGGCTGAGCGAGAGCAGGAGGGGGAATGAGGAAACAGCTGGTCAATAACATGAGAGCGACGTTCAGGTGCACTGTGTGTGTTGCGTCATCCGCCAGACTCCGCACATGTATGCCGGTGTCATGCCCACTCTTCCTCATAGTTGCATGTCTGTTGAAGTACATCATGGCCCCTGTCTCTCAATACCAGAATCTTTGTTATTTCGTCGTAGTAAATGTTCCTGACCCCTCTCTTCCCCTCCCTTCTCTCTCTCTCTCTCCTTGTTCCCTCTCTCTCTCTCTCTTCCTCTTCCCGTGTATTCTCGCCCATTTCCCCTTCCCCCCCCCTCTCTCTGCATCACTTCTCCTCATTTCTTCTCGGCGCCCGCATCTCGCCCCATCGCCGCCGCCGCGTCCACAGCTCCATCCCGCCTCCACCTGCAGGGGGAGATATTGGTCTTCCCTGGGGGCAGTCCCTGGGGGACGATTGGGCGAGGACCCCTCGTTCGAAAGCGCGGGGCTGGGATCCGTCGCGCCCGATCCCCAGACAGCTCCACCAGCTCCGGGGGGAAGTCCGCGCTGCGCCCGGGGTCCGCGCCCCCCTGCCCCCCCCCCCCCTCGTTCGGGCGCTGCCCGACGGCGCCCTTGGCCCGAGGGGTGACCCGAGAACTCCGGGGAGGCCCAGAGGGCTTCAGACCCCCCCGCCCCCACGAGGGTTAGGAGAGGGTCGCAGGGTCTGTCCACAGCTCGCAGGCGATTTTGTTTGTCCCCCCCCGTCGTCGTCGTCCTCTTCCTCCTCCCCCTCCTCCTCCTCCTCCCCCCTGCTCCCAGTTCCTCCCCCTCCCCCTCCTCCTCATATGAACTTATCAAAGCCCACGAAGTCTTCAACGACAATAAATATAACACTGATGATGAAAGAGAATATCATTCTCACATCGCGCTCGGTCTGACTCAAGGGCCCTGAAAAGGTTCGGGCCAAAGTGCAATGATACACCCGCTATGCTACAGCCTTGCTCTGCACTGTCTGCATACTGCAACATAGCATACACGCAAGATGTACAGCGTATACCTCACACCCGTGAAAGAGTGAAAAGACAATGAAACGGAGAGAAGCCTTCCTTCAATATGAAACATAACAAATCCAAATAAACATACCTAAGAAATCCAGATAAACATTCCTAAGATGCATTAACAATAAACATACTGAAACTCAAAGTTATATTGCGTGAGAAAGTGTAACTAACTCCGCGCCAGAGAAACAATGCCGATACGTCGCACTGCACATAGAGGGACCTCCAAACCGAAATCCACGATCACAAAGGGATTTCCAAACGAAATCCACCATCGTAAACTCTCGGGCGGCAGGCAATGAAAGCCGCAAAACAAAGAAAGAATAGTAGTGAATACCAACCTCACTTGTGAACTCGAAAACCTTCTGTCAACTCTGGCTCGGTCGTCACCTCGCCTGTTCTGCGAAACCCTTGGGTCTGATGCTGAAACCTCTAAACGTCTCCGCTGAGCTTGTATGTCGTCATGCTCTGCGTTCCCACCGTCCTGGCCGTGTACAGATCGTTCGACGAGCCGCCGCGTTCGTCGCTTGATGATCCTTTTGGTTCTCTCTCCTTCTCGATCTTCTCCTGTTCGATCTTCGCCCGTAGAACTGCCAACTCAGTCTTGTACTTGTACTCGGCCTCCTTGATCTTGATCAGGTAGGATGCAACAGGATAGGCTCCACATAATCCAAGACATGTGAAAAACATGGCAAACCAAACCAAAATACCATAGCCGTCGTTCTCGTTCTTCGTGTCGTACCCCGTGTGAGCCGCCGATCTGCAACAACTAGTTGCGAACACTGCCAACTGCATGAACGGTGTCGTTGCCTTCCGCGTTGCCGCCGATGTCACCGGCCTGGTCTGGTCTATGCTCTCCTGTCTCTCTTCCTTGGTCTTCTTCTTCGCCGCCGTGTAGTTCGGGTCATGCTTGAGCTGTAGCCTGCCATATCGCAGACGGTCGGCGAGAAGCTGTCTCGCCGCAATCTTCGTGAGCCCGTCCGCGTACTGCCTCTCTGAAGATACCCACCTCCAGCGTGTCATTGTAGCCTCCATCCTCTCACGCAGCGCTAGCACCTCAATGCCGGTCCGCTTGTCCTGGAAGCTGGTGATGCTCTCCTTTTGGGCCGCGTCGTAGAGCGCCTTTGCGTCCACGACTAATGCTGACTCGCCCGCCATGTGGGTGCTTTCGTCCTTCGTGATGTCCACGCCGTCGTAGATCAGGGCTGCCCAGAATCGCTTCGCAAATTCCAAGCCATCCATGCCCGCTGCTGCTGCCTGTGACTCCGCATGTAGAGAGGAACGTGCCATGCGTAGTAGCTTGAAGGACTTCCAGTCGATCGCGCTAAAGTCGGACTCGTGTCCGTCGAATATATACTTGTGGCATGCCAAGATGACGTAGCCACCTTGACTGGACCCGTCCTGTCGAACTCCCCAGGCTGCGTCCGTCATTGCTACGAACACTATGTCGCTTACCTGGCCGATCTTCTTCATCTTGAGCCCGACGTCCGAGTTCTGCTTATAGAACCGCAGTGTCTTGTTCGCCTCCTTGGCCGTGCCCACTGTCGCCGTAGGAAATTGCCCTTGGTGAATGCTAACCGAAGCCGAAAGATGAGGACAAGCTTGAGAGCTTGGCCACTGCAAAGCTCCGAGTAGACCTCGTAGCTGCCGCTTCTCCTTGATAGTGAGCTCCCTCGTGTTGTCGCTGCTCTTCTGGTCGATCGTGATGGGCTTCAGGTTCTTCGCGTAAGTCGCCATCTTCACTTCAATCTCGTTGCTGTTCGACTCCGGGTTCTCCCAGTGCGGGGTCTGCGTCAAGTCGTTGCCGCAGTAGTCCATCTTGTCGTCTTCGATCCACTTCCTGAACTTGAACCTTCGTTTTACCTCGGTGATAGCTCGACTATAGTTACTGCCCGGCCGCCGATCTCCACCTCCCAGCATATCGTCCACATAGAATAGAATGAACCCGTCATTATTGCCGTCCTCATCGAAATTGAGAAACGTGCATGGGTCCAAAGGATGCTGCTTGAGACCACTGGCCTTTAAGTCGTCCACCGCACGTAGCCACCAACGCCTCGGTGCGTCCACCTGGCCGTACATTGGCTTGATGAGCTTCATAAGAGTATTCGGCTCGATGCCCATGAGTTCTGCCGCGTCTTTGGGCACCTTCGCATACAATTCGCGCTCTTGGGGCCGTCCTTGAAGAAATGCAGTAGCTACGTCTGCTGTCCATAGTCTCCAGCCGTTGTTGGCCGCCAGTAGTAGCGCCATCTGTCTTGCCAGTCTCGAGGCTGTAGGTGATGCCGTCGGTACCGCGCCACTGAGTGCGTCGGGGTCGTTGAAAGCTTGTAGTGCCAGCCGCGCCTTGGCACGTGGCGTGCCGTCGTCGTTTTTTGTCCACTTGAGCACCCACTTAGCCTTGAGTATCCGCCGAGGGTCCTCCTCCCCGGTGGGCTTGTGAAACTCCCAGACGTCATTGCCGAAGAACTCCGTCAGCTCTTTCCGCTTGCCCTGCATGAACGCCGCGCGCTCGTGGGGCGTCATGTTCCTCGTGCCGATGTCCACGAAGATGTCGCTGAGCTTTGCATCCGCGCCGTTGAACTCCCAGCCGAATGGCAAATCCTGACTGGTGACCACAAGCTGTAGAGCTACAAGTTCGTCGTTAGCATCGTCGAGGTCCGGTACTGGCACCGCGCTGCTCAGTCCAGGGTCGGGCAGAGTGCCTCTGAAGACTCCGCCTCCAGGTCTGGTGGATATCGCCGTCTCCGCTTTGTCCATCCTGAGCCGCTCTTTCTGAAGATTTGACATAGGCCTCGACCGCGTCTGTGTCGATCCGAGCTCCTGCTCCGGCGATGGTGCTGCCACCGCTGATGACGATGAGGCTGCTGGCTGCGCTGTCTGCGCTGGCTATGCTGTCGGTTGAGCTGCTGGCTGCTCTTGCCCTGGTGGGGGTGCTGTCGGCATCGGCTCCTGGTCTGGCTGACCAGAGTTAGACGTCTGTCGGCTGCCGTCGGGTATCAGCGCCTCCGCGTCAGGAAGATCCTCCGCTGGAGCTGCTGTAGCTGGTGGTATCTCTGGTGTTGCCGTGGCTGCTGCCGCCGCTGCCCCAGATGACGATTCTTCTGTAGGTACCTCCGCCACGGGGGACGCCCTCGAATCGGGACCTCCTCCTCGACGTCGCTTGGATGCTGGACCTTCGTCTCCGTCTCCGTCCTCCGCGTCGTCGTCGACGTCCATGTCCGAATCGCCCTGTGCGTCGAACGGGGTTTGCTGTGAGCTGATGTCATGGTACTGTGTCACGCCCGTTCTCCGCATGCTGCCCAGTGCATCCTTGGCCTGGGTCAGGTTCTCGAGAAGAACGCACCCTTGATCACTCACGTCTGGCCGAACGTGCTCAGGTGCACACCGTAGTAGCTGTGCGCCGTGAACGATCCAGTAGATGCGTGGTCCACTCTCGTCCTGGCGCATCTCCTTGAACACCGCGACTGCGGGGCCCTTCCACTTGTTCTTGATCAGCTTGTTAGTCTTGCCCTCGCGCCAGTAGTGACACCGCTGGCCGATGGATAAATCGTGCTTGAGCGCCACGCGTCGTCGTAGGAGTGCGCGTCGAAGTTTGGCTGAGGCGTCCGCCTTCATGAAAGCTAACGCCGCCATTGACCTCCTTTCCAGCGCGTCCTTGAAGTCCTCGTCCTCCTTCATCTGGTGCAGGGTCGCTGGTGAGAACTTGTCGCTGGAGTTGGTCATCGTCGTAGTGGGATCCATGCCCAGAACCCACTGGCATGGTGAGTACCCTTTTGTGAACGCCAGTCGGTTGACCTGGTGGGGTACATAGATGCACGCCTCGGTGATCAGTTTCTCGTCGAGTACCGCGTTGGCCGTACGCTCAATAGCGTCCTGGCAGTAGAGCTCGATCGCCTTTCGAACCACTTGATGACATCGCTCCACCACTCCGAGACTCGAGTGAGCCTCGCCTGCTGCGGTCACAATACTGATACTGTGTTGTTCCAGAAACTGCGTGAACTTGTCCGACGCGAAGCCTGAGCCGTCGTCGGCGCGTAGCTTGCCCATGGGACCGACTTGCCTGATCCAGCCGCGCTCGACCGCCGTGATCAGTTCGTCGGCCGTCTCCGTCTTGAGTGTCCGTAGGGCACAGTACCTGGTAGCACCGTCCACCATCGACAGGATGGCCGTCTTGCCTGTCGCTGTCTTGACCCAGAACACGTCGGTGTAGACGGTCTCGTTGAACTTCGTCGGCTGCTTGGCTGACGCTGTGGGTGCCTTCGGCGGGCGCTGCCGCTGCATGCAGTGTTCGCAGCGACACTCAGACGCGCAGTTGAGCACGTTCTCCTGAGCTCCTGCTTGCTGTAGTAACCGATGTGGTACCGTCGGGTTGGGATGTCCCATGTTCCGGTGTAGCCGCTTGACGTAGCGCAACGCCTCGGTGCCGTATTTCTCGCGTACCTGCGAGTGCACGTGAACAACCTCCTCCTTCGCCGTCTCGTCCGTCGAGGTGGGGTTGCTGCCGCTGCTGACGTCTTCGCCGTTGTAGATCTCCTCGGCCTCGGCCTCCACCATAACTTGTGCCAGGGTGGCTGCCAAGATGAACGGGTAGTCCTCCGTGACCTTCGTGCGCTTGACGCCACTGCCGTCCACGTTGCCCTCCAGTACTGCGTGCTGATGACACCTGTCGCATCGCGTGCTCATGATAGCCGCCATGAGCTTCTTGGTGGTCCTAATTGTGGTGGGCTTCTTGACCGGCTGATCGTCGTTCCCTGGCAGGGTGAGACCGTGCATGCACTGGTCGAAGGTCGCTTTGTAGCCCGGTAGGTTGGACCAGGCTTTGGTCTGCCAAGCCCTCGATGTGGCTGGATGTTCCGCGTGAGCATGACGTCCACCTTCGCACTGAATGTGGTAGACGTCCGCCACGAATTGCAGGTGTGTCCGATGATGCCAGTCACGTAGCTCAATAAGATACTCCTTCCAACCTGGGTGTTGGTGAATGTTTAGCCCCTGCATGTTGGACCACGGTCCACACATCGTGGAGAGATGTACTTCGTCTGGCTGTTCTTCGTGTAGCTTGCGCTTGAACCGCTCTCGGTGTTCGGCCTTCGCGAAGTCCCAGCCCGTGTGTAGTCCGAACGTCTCAACATCCGCTCCAAGGTCGCGTAGGCTCTGAGATAGCCTAGCTTCGCCTGCATAGACCTCCCAGACCTTCCGTCGCGTAGTGCAACGCTTTGCCGCTGCACGCCGCATCGTCTGCATGTACTGGTCGCCCGTGCTTGATCGCCGAGCCGATCTTCTGAATGAAGTTGGTCGTGACCTGCCTCTTGTCGCCATCGTCGCTGCTGTACGTGTCCTGTTCGGTGAGCTGCGCCACGTCGCTGTAGGCGTCCGCCAGGCACCAGCATGGTTCTGGCAGGTTCGGGTCGACTGGCTGGATCGGCGTCGTTGCGAAGCAAAGGTTGCCGCAGGAAGCATGATTATGACACCGATGCTGCTTCATGTAGTCGCCACAGCAGTTGACCTTCACGACTCGTTGCGGGCATCTTTCTGAGTGCGCCCGCTGCGGTGCAACTTCCCATTGTTCCCCGTCGTCGCTGCTGCCATTGTCGACCATGTAGATTTCATCTAGAAGCTCCAGGCCGCTGATGGTCCTATCGCCGTCCATGAACTCCTTGAAATCGACTGGCTCGTACTCGAAGTCCAGCTGAACGTCCTTCGTCTGGTCGTCCATGTCCTCAAGCATATCCACCATGTAATGGCCTTGCGGAGACGTGCGCGCCTCCTCGTAGCTGCCGCCGTTCCACGCCAGCTGCTGATTCGCAAAGTCGACCTGCACTGCAAACTTCTCCAGTAGGGGCCGCGGGAAGAGTATTGGCGTCTTCCCTGGAACTAGGTAGATGTACAGGTTTCCCGTCTTGCTCTTGAAGCTCGCTGGAGTGACACCGCACCACAGTGCGTGCTCCACCTTGCCATTGACGAACCGGAATGGCCTCGACACGTGTGAAAATCCAGCGTCTCGACCGGGTAGCCCCTGGCGTGGCATGTGGTCAGGTATTCCTTGATGGTCCCCGAACCTGACATAAGCGTAGTCGCGCCGCCGTCCAGGATCGCCAATTGCGCGGGAATGATGCTGGCCTTCTTGCGGTCGTCCCAGTAGACTTCGCCCACCATCATCTCTTGATCCATCTGTCCATGGGGCCGCTTCTTCGGTGGTTCTGGGCAGTCCTTCGCCCAGTGTCCGACTCCGCCGCATCGTAGACAAGTCGCCTTGGATGGTGCTGGCCTCGTAGCTGCCTCCGCCCTCTCCGTGGGTCTTGGCCTCGTATATGGATTGTATGGGCGAGATGGTGCCGAGTGTGGTGAGCCCTTCCGTCCTGGGCTACCCTTCTTGCCAGCTCCTCGAGATCGTCCGCGTCCTTTTGCTCCGCCCTTGCTCGGAGGGCGCCTCGGTGCCGCCGATGCCGATGATCCCGTCGCACCTGGTACCATCGCCACTACCGGGTAGTAGCCTCGTGCAAGCTTCAAGTCATTGAAGCGCTTGCGAGCGTCGTGGTAGGCCACGTAGACCTCGTCGTACTCCGATACGTCGAAATCCTGCATCGTCGCCGTGTCCCGCTGATAGTAGGCCTCCTCGCAGTCGTACCAGCTCTCGTCGCCGTCCTCGGCCCAGTACTCCTGCTCGTAGCCGTCGTCGAACTCTAGTTCGTCGTCTTGGCCATCGTACGCATCTTCTTCGTAGTACTCTCCTGTCTCGTCGTCCACGTGGTACTGCTTCCGTGCATGATTCGGCTCGTATGCTGTGCTCTCCTGTCCGAATGTGGTCTCCAGCGCCTCGATCACCTTGTCCTGCGTGATATCCTTGCCCACGATGGACATGATGACTGCCTTCTGATCTGGACTGTAACCGCCTCGTCGTAGAATCAGCCATCCTCGAACCTTGGATGGCAGCTCGATGTCGTGCGTCTTGAGCTTCCGCTCTGGCGCCCGAACTCTTGATACGTAGCTGAACAGGGTCTCTGCTCGATTACGTCGTAACTTGTAGAAATACTTCTCCAAGTCATCTGCCAACTCCATCCGTGTGTCCATCTTGAATCGCTTCCTCAAGCGTGTGAGCAGCGCTGCAGCCGCGCCTGGCTTGATCAGGTCGTCCGCCGTGAGATCCTCAACTTCGTCCCAGGCTTCACCCGTCAGCCCAGCTGATAACATGCGAGCCGCTTCGCCCTCCTTTTTCTCCAATGTAAGGTTCGCTATGAACATGGTCGCCCGCTTCTCGTACTCCTTCCACCTCGACAGTGTGCTATCGAACTGTGGAACTCCGCGTTCTGGTAGTATTGACTGGTCGTCGGTCCCTCTGCCGCATGCTTTCGCCATGATGCTAGCCTTTGCTGCGTAGAGGTCGCTGTCGCTGTCGCGGGAGGGGTACTGCTGCTCGTACTCGCCGCTGTCGTTGTTGCTCTGGACCTCGCTGGAGGTCGATTCCGAGTCGTAGCTGAGGTCGGGCTCGAAGCTACTCGATATGGAGATGTGGCCGTCGCTGATGACCGAACCACGAGTTATGAAGGGCGCTGACGAGCCTGTCGGGTGATCGACAGGCTCCGCTACCAATATGAACTTATCAAAGCCCACGAAGTCTTTGACAACAATAAATATATCACTGATGATGAAAGAGAATATCATTCTCACATCGCGCTCGGTCTGACTCAAGGGCCCTGGAAAGGTTCGGGCCAAAGTGCAATGGTACACCCGCTATGCTACAGCCTTGCTCTGCACTGTCTGCATACTGCAACATAGCATACACGCAAGATGTACAGCGTATATCTCACACCTCCCCCTCCTCCTCCTCCTCCTCCTCCTCCTCCTCCTCCTCCTCCTCCTCCTCCTCCTCCTCATCCTCCTCATCCTCCTCATCCTCCTCCAGTCGAAACTCCCGCGAAGCCTGGGATACGGGTCGACATATCCCCTGTTAGCAGCCTTGCCAAGACAACTTGGGGCAGCCAGGGCCAGGACCACTTCTAGCATCTCCCCGCTCTCCTCCCTCGCCTGGAGCCTTTTTGGGAAGGGCCCAGGGCCGATCTGGCGGGTACTTCCCGTGCGGGAGCGGCGGTTTGGGACTCGGTGCCGGTCTGCTTGAGGTATTCTGGCAACTCTTGCGAAACGGTGTCAAGGGAGGCACGCATGGTGGCCTTGCTTCCCCGAGCGCCTATAGCGCTTGGGATGGCGCGAGCCCAAAGGGGAAATCCCTCAAGTGAGTTCCCGTCGTCGCCGCTACACTCCGTCTCAGTGCTGTTGCAGCAGTTGTGAATTATACCATCGCCAGGCGCCGCCCCCCTTACCGTCGGAGGGGGAGAAGCGATACCACCACCAGCGGGCCACCTCCACTGAGGAGGTCCAGGATTCCTCCCCGAGCTGGAGATTGGATACGTCTCGAGCCGGACGGCGCAAAACCGAGGGACGACACTAGCAGGATTATTCCCCCAAGTTCCTCGCGGTGGTGGTGGTGCCCTTTTCTTGCCTTTCTATAATTCTTTTGCTGGTGCGGAAGAGTCTTGGAGGATTGTGCTATCAAGAGCTTTCCGCCATGGTTTCGGTCGCGGTTGAATCGCGGGTGGGTCGCGGGGTGGCTCGCGGGTGGGTCGCGGGAAGCACCCCGCAGTCGCGGATAAGAGTGAGGTGGCGGTGGGGACGTCGGCAGTTTGCGAGGCTCCGAGGAGCCCGCAGCAGACGCCGAATTTTTACAAATTACACGACGAGGCCGCTGCAGGCACCGATTTTTCCTGCAGGTAATGTGGCCGGGTCGCGGGCGGGTCGCTGGTGGGTCGCGGGTGTGTCGCGGGATGGTCGCGAGGTGGGTCGCAAGCCAGGTCGCGGGTGGGTCGCAGGTTGGTCGCGGGCCAGGTCGCGGGCCAGGTCGCGGGTGGGTCGCGGGCGGGTCGCGGGTGGGTCGCGGGTGGGTCGCGGGCGGGTCGCGGAGTGGGTCGGGGGGGGGGGCGCGGGTGGGTCGCGGGGTGGGTCGCGGGTGTGTTGCTGGTGGGTCGCGAGTGGGTTGCCAGTGTGTAGCGGATGGGTCGTTGGCCGGTTCGCGGGTAGGACGACGACCACAAACAACATTAATAATTTCGGCATCAACAGCAACACCACCACCGATAACAACAACATTCATATTAGCATTAACAGCAACAATATCAACACCAACAACAAAAGCAATCATCATTTTAATTGAATCGCTTCGCTCATTCCGCCGGCCCGTGATATGGCATCGCTGGTTTTTGTCTGTGTGTTCGTTGCCCATGTTGCGCTCTTGGGGGCGGGTGTCGTTCGGACGCGTTGCGTGGGGAGTTTTGATGGTGAAGCAGTTCCCTGGGGTCGTCTCTCGATGGGGCGAAATAGAGTCGTCGTCAAGATGCTTCTTTGGGGGGCCTCTTGGGGTCTGTTGAGAGGCCGTTCGGGGGCGCCTGGGAGACAAGTTTGAAGCCTTCTGGGGCTTCTTTTGGGCCTCCTGGGAGTCTCCTGGGGCCTCTTGGCGACATCTTGGGGCCTCTTGGAGGCCTCTTGGGGCCTCTTTGGGACCTCCTGGGCGCCTTCTGGGACGGAGGGCTCCATTTTTGAGTTCTCGGTATCCCTCCTGAGTCCCTCTTGGGCCCGTCTTGGGCCTCTTGGTCCGTCTTGGGCGGCACTTGGGCCGTCTTGAGGGCTCTCTTGGGTCGTTTCGGCGCCGTCTTGGGAGCTTCGTGGGCCGTCTTGGAGCGGTCTTGGGGGCCTCTTGGGCCGTCTTGGAGCGTCCGGAAGCCGAAAAAGGCAGAACACAAAAAACATCGAAAACACCAATGAAAATCAACGATTTTGGCCTCTTGGGGCTCTCTTCGGAGGCCTCTTGGAAGGCTCTTGGGGCGTCTTGGAGGCCTCTTGGGCTGTCTTGGGGGCCTTTTGGGCCGGCTTGGGGTCATCTTCGGCGTCTTCGAGCGCTCTTTGGGCGTCTCGGGGGCCTCTTGGGCAGTCTTGGGGGCCTCTTGGGGCACTCTGAGCGCGCTCTGGGGAGCCTGAGAGGCCGCACCCAGAAGAAAAACCATCTCTGAGTAGACTTGGTCGGGCGGCGGTCGGGCGGCGACCGGGCGGCGACCGGGCGTTGGTCGGGGTACTTTTCGCCGGGGGACCCCCAGGGGCCGCCCCGCGCGCGCGAACTAGAAATACTGTTAATACTGTTAACCAGTTACCGGAGATCTTAGCACGCCCTGGCCCGTTGGGCCGGCGAATATTATTCTCTCTTATTGGCACGGGTGCTTTGGATTCTGTATACCCCAACCCTCGAGACCCGCCCACTTCGTCTTCGATCGCACCCCCTTTCGGGTTGAATATCTTCCTCGTCGGCCTCTGACTGAAGTGCGAGGAACTCGTGCGAGAGCGCCGTTCCTGACTTCGGAGGCCTTTCTGGCCAGGCCAGGGGCTTTCGGAATACATTGATATATCGAACGGGAATGTTTGTCGCCGTGTCTAGGCCTCCACCGATTCGTTCAAATTACGAGCAACTCTGGAGCGAGAGCGCCACTCTTCAGTTCGGGGGCCTCTCTGGCAAGGGCCTCTGCGAATACATCTTGCGAAAGCATCGAACGAGAGCCCTTGTCGTCGTAGTTGGGCCTCCACCAATTTGATTGAATCACGAGAAAGTCTCGAGTGAGAGCGCCGTTCCTGGGTCCTGGGGCCTTCATGGACAGGGGTTTTCGGAGTAAAGCGTGAGGAAGTATCGAGCAGGAGCCCTTGTCGTCGTGGCTGGGCCTCCGCCAAATTTGATTGATCTGCGAGAAATGCTCGAACGAGGGCGTGTTCCTGACTTCGTGGGGCCTCTCTGGCCAAGGCATCTCGGGGTTAGGTGTGAGGAGGTATCGAGCGGGA